AGGCTGGATGCAAACAAAGAGAAGGGCAGGGTTTGTCGGATGTTTAGGGACAGGCTGTGGCTGGCAGGACGGTCAGTGTCCAGAGCTGAAGCTCACACAATGGGAGCCTGGGGAAGGGATGTGTGCACAGCTGGAGTCTCCTTTTCAGTGGGCTTCTCGTTTCATCATTTGCACAATGCTCATACAAGAGCTAGAAGACTTATTTTTATAAAGAGTGAAATTGAAAAGGTATAATCATGTCTTTTCATATCACTCGATGAATTATCTGTGGATGTGATCTGAAAAGGCGACAAGTAGAATCTCTTCCGAAGTTTCCTATGGCTAGGATTTTAAAAATGTCCTATGTCTGTATCGGCAGACTCTCTACCAACCACCTTATGTCTGGTATAAACATTAAAACCACACACTTTAAAAGCTAACTGGATTTTGAGCTGAGGTCCTAGTGTATTTTAAGTGTCTGCTGAAGAGACAACAATGTTGACTTGCCCCTCTTGTGACTATCTTGTTGGAAGCTACAGCACGTAATGAGAAATGTCTAGTCCCAAGATCAATGAAATTTTGGGCTCCAGGGATTCAACAGGAATAGCATTGATCCTTTTAAAGAACACCAGTCAGAGATGGCTTGTAATATATTGCAAAGAAGGGCTCAGGAGGATAAGCGGCCAAGTCCAAGATACCTACCTGACAAAAAATTCAATCAGCTTTTAGCACAAATTGCCTTCTCTGCTCTCCTTTCTTTCATGCAGTAGGCTGCTTCCAATTAAAGTGCGCAAATTAATTTTTATCACTTCCAAATTAGTTTCAGAATTTGTGCAAAAGAGTGTTTCAGATGAAAGCATCTGTCCCTCACATCTCTGTGATTCTGTTATCTAGTCAGGGACCTATTTAAATCTCCAAGAAAATGTTCTCATGTCAAAGTCCCAAGTTTGAAAGAGTAACACTGGATATTAGCATTATAAAATATATTAAAAAAAAAAACTGTAAGTCAACTGAAACCTAGCTAGGTAGCACCTGCTTATTTCTTTTATGGTCTGAAACTCTTTTTAATGATCTGCCTCTAAATGTTCATCGTCTTTGTAGTGAATCCATTAAAAATATACAAATAATTAGGAAAAGACTTTCTAAAATATCTGAATTAGCCACAATAATATATTTGACTCAAAGAAACCTTAAACACTTTCTGCACCTACCTAAAAAAATCTACAAACATTACTTAGATTTTCCTCTGTGGTACTAATAGAGCTCTCCATTAAAAAAGAATAATGACAGTGCAAAAGAGACGTAAATATATTAGAGAGCCCCTTGAATTAATCTTGAGAAAGTGATTAAGTGAATCCTATCATTTTATGTTGTGCTGAATAAATATGATTCAGCCTCTGACATACAAAGAAATTCAATGTCCACACCAAGACCAAATCCTGAATTTTAATGGCTACTGGCATGTTGTGTTTCACACTAGGACTTCCCCCTTCAAGTCTAGGTTAATATATACAACCCTCAAAACCTAAGGGTATTGTGCCACACACTTTACTATGAATTTAGATATAACCAGCTTTTTGGTCTTGAGTAGCAATGCATTAAAGATAGAAAACACATACAGCCTGATTCTCTGACCTGTGAATTGGTAGCTAGAATAGATTAAACCGGGACAGAAAAAAAATCTTTTTCTTTCATGTTGTGAGTTTTCTGATGGCAAGGACTATGTCTATGTCAACACCCATGGCTGATCTCTGATGTGACAGTCAATTCAGTGTGTGCTGTGCCTGCTTTTACAAAAAAAAAAAAAAAAAGTGAATTGATGAATGTATGTGGTCTCTCTCATCATAGTATGTGTGTTACCAGGTTGGCTATTTTAACAGATTCAGTGAGACACGAATCAGTCAAGTCTATCAAATACTGGATATGACTAATGATTAATTTTTTACTATTATAATTACCCATATGGTAAAAAGCTGACACTTTTTTAATGTAATTATTATTTTGTACCCAAGATGTAAGGTCAAACATTTTGTAGTTTGATACCAAACATCATCTGATAGCGATTTATGATTCATGTGACAAGTACTCAGTATGTTCAGTACATTCGAGCAGACAAAGCAGTTTGGTGATTAGTGTAATACTAGGCCAGAGACTCTGACTATCCAGCTTTCCCAGCGGCTAAGATAGGACCAGCACCCAGCAGGCCTTCAGTTCGTGTTTGCTGCTTGCCTAACACTTCAGGTGATCATCCTGTTTATTCTAAAAGAGCATTTTTTCCCTCTTACATTAAGGATGATGGATGAAATAAAGCCATATGACGTAAGTCCATATTAAATGTCCAAAACTCTTGACAGGGTGGGTTTTACAAAGTCATTTGGGGTCATAATGATGACAATAGTTTTGACCAAAAATAAATTTTTACAAATGGAGGCAACAGTAAAAGATATGCATCAATAATATTCTTAATTTCTTAAGGATAATCTTGTCTTATTGAAAGCTTAAATAAAATCCTGCATTTTAACAAATATAATATTCATAATTTTGTTCTTAAGGGTCAATATAAACATTTTTATTTATATAGCTCCTGTTGTAAGGAACCTTATCCACTCTAAGTATTACTACATTTAATTTTTCTTGATAACCGATGGACTAAAGCAACCATCGTTAATCATCTTTTCATTTAAAAGATCATCAGAAAAATCACACAAATTAAGTAGCTAATACAATTACTATAATTTAACATGTAAAAAAAATTCTTTACCTCAGAGCAGTATGATATATAAAATATCTTATCTCAGCTACCAGATGGTAGCTTTCAAGAAATGAATCCTCTTTTTGGAAATATCATTTTCATCATTTCTGAGTGCCAGTTTGAAGATGTTAGTTAATGAGATTTAAAGCACTATTCTGTTTCTTAAAAAAAAAAAAAAAACTGTTACCTAAAAACTTCTAATTTTTATCAATATAGATGGAAGATACTACACAGACCTGTTGCTTAATTAAGCTTTTCTAATGAATACTACACTACTACAAAAATGAAGATTTGTAAATACACAAAAATAAATTTAGATGAAATAGAGCTGGTAATGTACCATGCTTGAGAATAAGAAAGCCATCCATGGTAGATCAAGGGTCGTATCCACACATGCATACGCACACACACATACATACACACACTAGAATTCTGCTAAAAATGAAGTTTCTGGGGTTTTTTTTTTTTAAGGGTGTAGCTTTAGAAAAGAATAAATAAGGAGGTTAACTTTTTAGTAGTTAGAGTATGATATTTGTTATAATGTGGATTTGGTAGCTAACTATTTGAGCTGGCTGGAAATCAAGCAACACTGAATAATTTTTTCCCTTAAACCAGTATCATATCTTAGTTCACAACTTAGAGCAGAGGCTGATGTGCATAATGCACACCCTTTTTCTTACTCAGTGTCTACGCTAAGAGCCGTTACTCCATGATGCACCTCGAGGTTCTTCATCTGCTGGTCTGCAGTTCCAGCTATGGGCAGCAAGCGTGAAACCTTGCATGATATTTGGTCTCATCTAGTTCATCTCCCACTATCTTCATTCTCAAATATATATATATAAATAAAATGAAATGAATATATATATATATAAAATGAAATGAAAAAAATATATATATTTCATTTCATTTTTTCTCTACTATGATAGGGACTTTGTTCCTATCAGTCAAAAGCCATTTCCTCTTTTTGCAATATTCCTGTCAAAATGAGTAAGAGCAGGGGTGGGTGGGACTTGAAGGACAGACAGATGTACACCTGGGCTTCCATCCTCAGCATTCTCACAGGCTGGAATGAACAGACCAGGGGTGGCAGCCTCCAACCACGAAAGACAGCATCTTGCCCATTTGTCATCTACTCTCACAATATTTCAGTGGCAGACACACAGCATCCCTAGAAAACTCTTATTGCTGTCTTGTCATAAATAGGACCCAAACTCATGGTTCAGTTTGTTTCGGAAGTACTGTGTAAGCTGTGACCAATGTATGAATTGCCCTGGTTTATAGGTACTCACCATTATCAACACCTTACAGACACCATACTCTATTTCATAGGAAATATTTGCATTGAAACTATTGAAAGCTTGGTAATTAGTAACAGCGATTATTTCTAGGCAATCTCTTATCTAGTCCTTCATTTAACAATGTTGAAAAACCTATTATGTGTGTCACTATGCCAGGAACCAGAGATTTAAAATAGAAAGGGAGAGACTCATGATTCATTTTAGTGCTTCCTTAGAACAACAGTTCCAAAGAATAATTTTTAACTGTACTGCCATGAGCAAAAGATACCATGGAAAAACATGTTTGAGAAATTGGGAGTTAATCAAATTTCAATAGATATGTTTGTGTAAGTAAGACTTTCAGAATTTACCTTGAGAGTAAGAGTAAATGCAGTGTTTTCTAAAATTATTTTACTCTGCAGTCCCTCCATTTTTTCCCTACAGGATATCTTGGGAGCACTGATGAATAAAAAATATTTAGGAATCATCACAAGCAAAGCAACTATCTTAGTTTTTGCCATCCCAAAGCCTAGTTTGAAGGGAGTACTCAATCATTGTTAAATGAATACACGGAGATACTAGACGTGTGGTAGAAAGTAATAAGTGTCCTCGCTGAGACACAGATAAAACCTTTTAGGAATTCAGAGGAGGGAGAGAATATATTCATTTGAGAGAAATTATACGAAGTTTAATGGACTAGGTGATACTGAAGGAAATTTCTGAAGGATAAAGACATTTGGACACTGGTGGAGGGCTGCCAACGACAGGGTCAATGTGAGGGGACCTGGGACTTTCCCCAAGTTGAAGGTTACAGTAATTACTCTTTTTTTACTTTGACCATAGTGACATTCTAACAAAGATTTTTGCCACTTAAAGCTTTCAGATTTTAAAATCCTTACAACCCTAGGAAAAGCTGTTAGAAAAATTTAAAAAAGCAAAATATGTTTAAAGAAACTCGTAGTCTGATGGGACACTTCTACACAAATACTCACTGCTATTAGGGTTGTCTCCTATGATATGGTGTCGCCCACTCCAGTACCAGAGAAGCAGGGTAGCATCTCGAGACCCAGACACAATGTAGCAATCCCCACCTATGTATGACTCAGACCTGGCCAAGCACGTGACCACATCCCAGTGGCCAAACACGATCTGAGTTAATTTCCCTGAAACACAGAAACACTAGGTTTAATTCATTTTGCCATTTTTCTTTAAATGGTAATAAGCTTAACTTTATTTTACTAAATTTGTGAAAAGTAAATCTGTAAACATGAAAATTTATAAGCTAATTCAAATCTAGCCACGGATACTTTCCTGAATTTCTTCTGGGAAATGATACAAGAGTGTTCCTTGGGATTTTTAAGGACATGACTTAGAAAACAACACAATCATGATTTTCATTCTTCAGGAGTTGGGCCAGACTAAGGGGAGGTTTAAGGTCCTTCACTGGACTTGGTTTGGGAAGGGACAACAGTCCCATTTGTCCTATGAAATCAGGACTCATGCAAAGGTTTGGAATGGATAGAATTATAATGAGTTACTTACAATGTGAACACTTAATTTGAATCTTGGCACTCAAGATGAAAATGCCTACATTATTAAGCATGATTTTATTTTAAGCCCTGGGTGTAACAACAGGCATTTTGAAGAGAATAAGGTATTTTGTGGTTAACCTTACCTGTTTCTGTAGAGTAAACTCTGAAGCTCTTATCCCAGAATCCACAGATGAGTATATAGCGATTATCTGCTGTGACCACAAAACAATGTGCGTTGATTTGTATACTCTGATCGACAAGGTCCGTGATCTGCCTTTTGTTCACACCAGAGTTATTGGCTAGACAGACACAGAAAAAAGAATTTAAAGGAGGATTCCACAGGAGATTCATCAAGGTATATTTTTGTGCTTCTTTTACCTAGAAATGGGTTTTTAAGGTTATAAGATTATTAACATTTTAACATTCCCCCATGAGGAACAGAAGCTTAATTTTTAGTAGCTGTGGAAATTTATGAACCCTCTTACCTATCTAAAAGTTGTCAGAAATTTCAGTTCTCTCTCCCCCAAGAAATAAAAACAACATGCAGACTTCAGATAATGAATTGAAAATAAAAATATTTAAATGCCTTGAATTCTATCCACGTTCACTACACACAAGTTCATTAGTGTCCAACAAGTTCTGTAATTAGGAGGAAGAAATATTGTGTGAAGTATGGTATATAAGGAAAAAAAAAGTCTTACTATTTGCCCCAATCTGTCATTTTCTGATGGCATTTACAATTCATGTGGAAAAAAGAGGGGAGAGGTTTGAGCAAGGGATGTTGTTATGTGGGCAGCCCCACAGGGAGCTTTAGGTCAGCAGCTTTAAAGACCTGGATTGTCAACAAAGAGAAGGCCTTTCCAGAATGGGCTGGCAGGGGAGGGGAGGAATAGGAAAGATGGGAGAGGGACTGGGGAGGAAGGAGACAGGCAGAGACTCCAGTGGATAGCACTGGGATTGAATCTGAACAAAGCCAGGAACTCGGAGACACCGTCTGATTTCCCTAGTGCCTGTCTGCATGCCAGCCTGTTCCGTTCTCTGCGCTGTCCTTTCAGGCTAAGTCCCTGGGCTGAATTCTTAAGCAGGAGATGCAGACGGTCACCCACACTCTCTCACGCCAATTAGACTGAAGTGCTACTATTTGTAGAGTCCCACTAATGCTATAATAACAACGACTAGGGAGGTTAGCCAAAAAAATTATACAGAGAAAGGTAGCAAAGAAAAAGAAAATCAGAGGTTCTGAGTCACTTGAAAACTATGTAATTGGTCCTTAATTAATTAGAATAGAGCTGCTAATTTTTCCATGGTTGCTTTCCTGTTGTATGTGACACTGTATGTATGTGTCACTGTATGTATGTGACTGCTGTATGTGGATGTCTCTTGGACGGAGGAATAGCTGGACTAGACTCTAAAAATATTCCCAGTCTTGAATCTTATCTTCCCAAAGATATGTAAATGTTGTTTTGTGTAGGGGTATAAGTAACTAACTCAAATGACTGCCTTTTAGCTTACTTCTGAGTTCAAAGATGAAGGATGAATTAAGAAATATCAAAAAAGATATACCATAATTGGATATGCCTTTACACTTTTTTATGCCATTTTCAATTTTTTTTCTAATTTAGTTCCCTACATGATCCCATGAAAAAGGCACGACACATATCCTGATCAGTCATTTTGCAGATAGGAAATTGAGGCCTAGGAAAATGAAGGGGCTTGTTCTGGATTATCTGCTTATTAGTGTGTCTGCGATTTAAAAATATTTCCATTATCTGTTGCAAAGAGTTACAGTTCATAAGTCTGCAATTCACATGAAATCTTTAATTAAAAAAACCTGGCCCTGTTGAAAGGAGATTTCTAGAAAAGATGTCTTTCATGTTGGTTCTCTTTAATGATTTTTTTTTGAGTCCTTACATATTTTAAGTATTTTAAATAATACACAGTTATTAAAGAATAGTTTAGGCTGAAAGAAAGGACAGTTTAGAATGATTTTCCTTGATTGGAATGAACTTAAATGACCTTAAATGAACTTAAACTTACTTAAACTTAAATGACCTCCTAAAAAAATCAAGGAAATGCCAGATAGCGTATTATGCTTTACACAACTCCTATGGTAATTCAGTACTATTTACACATTAATTTGATGGCAGAAAAATTATCATTCAACCAACTTTTGTGATAACTACATAGGAATCTGGACAGTCAGTATTCATGGAAATGTATTTTTTTGTTAACGTACCAATCAAGGGGTCCATTTCAATGGGAAGATGATGAGCTTGATCCAAGGAGTATCCTGGAGCTCCTCTGAGGCCTAAAGATTAAACAGAAGGAGAAAACTACCACAAAAGTCTGAGGGAGAAGGAACGTCCTGATAAGCAGTGTTTTATGATGACTGTAGAAAAGGTGTACTGCTTAAAAATTATTTGGCAAATAGTTGTAAGAATGATGGTCATAAAAAACATCTTTGTGGATACTCTTAAAAGAAATCATCACAACAGGGACTGCTAGTTTCCATGGAAAGAATGTTCCTATCCTAACAAGAAAAAGCCACATAGAATAGAAGATCATAACATTTCTTGAACCCAACAAAGAGCTAAGATTTCTGGGCAACCAGTAAGCTTGAAATCTACAAGGCTGTGCCTGTAAGCAGGGGTGGGCGTGAGCACAGCGGGCTCACCTGAGCCAGGGCAGAGGGGAAGATGGGGCTTCCATCTTCTTTCACTAGATGGCAAGTCAACTGAAGGTTAAAACATGGAGCCAAACCTAAGACCTTAAGCTCAGGAAAAGCTGCTATCAAAGGATTAATATTTAGGGCTTGATTGAGTTCATTAGTCATAATATTTTTACATGTGATTATATAACATATATGATACTTTTGAACAATGCTGAAGAAAAAATTAATCCTTTATAGTTTTTTTCTCAATGCAAAATATTTCTAGAGGCTCAGACTTCTGTGAATAATAAAGTCATATTTTTTTCTTAAGATGTGCTGCATCTTTCAGATCAAATGGAATTAGTTATACCTCATATTGATAGTATCACCAATAAACATAAAATAAGTGCATTTAGAAACTCTTAGATTAAGCTAGGATTTACATGATACTGTTTTTTGTAGCAATACAAAAGTTAGGAGAATAGAAAAATTCAGATTAATTTACCATGGCTTATCCATTTAGTCCTAGAGATAGTGAGAGTCCTGGGGTTTCTGAGGAAATTGTAAGGGGTGAATCTGGCCAACTAAATCATTTGGTCATCTCAACTTCTGTCCTGGTTAGGTAAGTATCAATATGTCTAATTTTGATAATAGAATCCTATCACTTCAAGTTGCCAGCTGGAACTCTTGGGAATGAGTTTAAAGAAAACACACACGGAATCACTGAACAATTTAGATTTTGTCTTTTCTCAAAGAGTCTCAGCTCCTCAAGGAGGGAGACGGTGTCTGTCTTGTTCATTGCTGTACTCCCGGTGTGCATGACTATTTGACACATAGTGGCCATTCAAATATTTGCCAAATAAATTAGTGAAATGGAAGAAAGAGGATTTGGAACCATTATCTAGGAAATCCAGATTTCAACTCACTTTTGTTTAATATAGCATAAAAGTGTTTTTTTTTTTTTCTTTTTTTTTCCTGTGGGGCAGGCATAGAGTAGGGTGGGGGGTGAAATTATTTGTAGACCTGCTTCAATTCATCGAATATTATTGAACACTTAACCCCCAGCCCAGCATTCTGTGAGGCCCCAACACAGAACAGCCGTGAATAAGACAGACAAGACTACCCTCGTCAGGTCTGGCAGTGATCTGCTCTGCCGCTGTCTGTAGATCTGGCATATGGCTAGACCCCAGCACACTTACCTTACCTTAACTACAGCTCTTAAGAGCCCTCTAGCAAGTGACGCACTTGGACACACGTACCTACTGTGTTGTGCCACCGATTCACCGCAAACAGTCGGCTGCAGGTCACGGTCACCACTGCAGGGATGGTCAGGTGGGGCAGCGTGTTGGCTGCCACGTGGGTCACCGGAGAATTTGATGGGAACTTCAGCACCATGATCACATCCTGTTGCATCTGATCTTTAAACATGAGTGGACTCTGTGGAAGGAAACACTGTTGAATAGAAAGGGAAGAGAGCAGAAGAAAACAGAAGGGATAACACAGTTAGTGAAAGCTCTGGGGAGACGGAGGTTAACACAGACGAGGCTAGCATGAGCAGCGAGCAAAGCAACCCCAACTTCCAGCCTGTGAGGATGGCACAGGGAAAGGGGTAAAGGCTCTTTCTGTGCAGCCGCTGACAGGGGACACCAGTTCACCAAGGACCCGCCTCAGTTTAAGCCTCATGAGACAGCGGGGTGAGACGCGAGCTCACAGACCGGTCTCAAGACACAGCAGCATTATTCAGGGCGATGAAAACATCAGTTTAGTGGAAAAATTAGTTAAGTCAGTGACTGACACTGTTTACGTGAAAGATAACATGAATGGATACTTTCATTTTTTACCTGGTTGATCTGGGGACATGACTCCAACCTAAGTAACTAAAATACACTAGCCCGCCCTGTCAGAGCTTTGCCCGAGTCTTGGCTGTGGCAATACTGACTGGTTGTGGTTGGCGCCTCGTTTCTAGACTGTGCGCTTCCTGAGGGCTACCCCCTTTCCTTCCCTCAGTCTTTGCTTTCAAACCTCTAGCATGTGACTCGATAGAAGGCAGACACTATAAATGCTACTGTTCCAGCAACTATAAAACACCATAAATACTACCACACCAAAACAAAATGGGGATGCTGGAACGAGCCATTCTGTCGCATTCGGAACTGTTCTGTAACTGTTTCTACACAAGGAATCGTCTGCTCCACGAGCTTAGAAGGGCTAGGTCTCCTTTATGAGCAGTTCCGTGCCAATTTAGTCTCTCACAATTTTCCCCAGGAAAGCAATGAATCCTGCCTGGGCACTTCTCCAGGATAAGTATTTTTATTATTATTATTAAACAGAGACGACTAACAAGGGAATAAAACTCTTCTGCCAAAGCATTTCATAAAATAAAGTGTTAGAGATATTCTCTTGGACAGTTTATTAAAAATACTTCATCTAAGGCTTGGGGCTCCAAGGCCACATCCCCACATCTACACCGTGACTACGTATTCGTATGGAACCGTGTGCTTGGTGTCAACCTCTCTGCTTCGTCACATGCAAGGACCAGTTTCAATCACAAGAGATCATTAGTGACTAATCAAGGGGGATGAAGCTGTTGGAGCCATTGTAAAGAGAAAAAAACGTGTTTTCAAACAAACATATTTATTTGTTTCACTAGGAGTTTAACTATTGATTCCTTGACAGTCCCCTCTGTGTTGTCGGCGCTTAGCGTCATGCCTGACACACAGAAGGAACTCGATACGAATTTGTTAATAAACTGAAAAAATAAATGAAAGGTCTCAACAGTACTTCCGCCACAAAATAACAGCTTATAAATTTGTTTGCCCATATACTGTGGACCATACTTCAGAGCTCTTTACTCTAAAATTAAGGTACTTGCTGCTTTGATAATTGCCTAGAAAAATGGATGAACTTTAATTCATTTTGCAAACGTGTTCCTTTGCCTTCAAGCATTTTCACTTCAGTAAAAAAAAATCAGTGAAAAACCACAGCTTAAAAAATAAATTCCTTCTAAAGAAGTTTCTCGGGAAAAAAGAGGGAAATGTTGTACAATTTGCTAATAAAATGAAAAAGGACGGTTTTGTTACGAAAATGAGCTTTTAAAATTCAGATTAAAATGAAAAGAATATTACCCTTTCCCTTGTAAAACGGGAATAAAAGTTTTAATATGAGGAGCTAGCGGAGATGATGACACCAGCGAACATTTATTGAGAATGTATTGCACACCAGGTGCTGGTCTAAGTGCTCTACGGTATTAAGTCATGAAATTCTCAGGGCAGATGGTATTCTTGCTTTCATGGAACAGATGCTGCAACATAAACAGAGAGGTTAAACACCTCGCCCAAGTCATTCCCTAGCTAGAGGCAGAGCTGGTGTTTGACCAGAGTGGCTCTGGAGCCCTTTCTTAACTCTCCTGTCCTGGCGAATTACCTCTGTATTTCTGTCCTCTTCTTAAAATCAGCTAGTCCCCCTACCCCGCCTTGCCCCAGAAGATTAAATTGGGCCGTATCATACTGTGTTGATATTATATTTTCATCCTACTTTATGAATCAAATCTAATTCTGGTGCCTGGATGTGTCTGAATGAGTTTATGCAGGGGCATACAGAGTCAGAGAAGACCGCGACTTTTGTGAACCCCAAACTGGGCGAGCGTAGCAGGACTTAAAGGTAAGAACCGCACTCCCCTCTGTTTCTCCACAGGGTATCGGCATCCACTTAGCTTGAAGAGTTTAACCAGTAAATCGAGAAGCCTTTAAAAATGCTGCTGAAATGACGATTTTATTTGACGTGTTCCCAGGTACAGAAAAAGCAAAAAAACTTTCTGTTCAGGAGGCTCTGTCTTACCAGGTGCATGGCAGAGCTCCGAGGCGGATGTGGTTCGATAAGCAACTGAGAGGGCGTCTGTCCAAAGTTCTGTATCTGTGCCTCCATGGCCTGCAGGGGAAGGAGAGTGACTGTCACAATCAATATGCATCAACGAGAGAGGTCATCACGCTCCCTGCCAATGCAAGTGGATCCCAAGTCAGCCATGAAAGACGTCCAGAAAATTCACCGGGTGCTCTTCTCTGAGGGTGCAGAATCACCCACGTGTTAGTATGCTGTAGACAAGCTTTGCTTTCTCTTTCCAAACATGCTTCCGTTAACCAAGTGGCTATTCTTATGTAGAAGCCGGGGTTAAACGTGGGAGGGTTAGACGGTGAATGCATGCGGCTGAAGCCAAACAACACTTCTCACACCCAATACACCACGTGTACCTTCAGAAAGTCCTGTGTGAGGAGGAATGTATGGGGATCTCTAATGAAATAAGCTTCTGGGATCTTGGGGAAAAAGAATGATACATAAAGTCCACCAGTGACAGGAAATAAAATTCAGGAAATCACATGTTCCAGTCAATACAGAGGGTAATCATTAAGACTGCTGTATCATTAATGATTGATTAATGCTGGCCAAATTTTCAGTACAAAAAAATATGTTTTAACATGTTATACTGTTTTAAGATCAATACTGAAGTATTATCTAATGTCTATATGGTATGAATTCACATGTCTCAAAAATTGTTTGAAATTTTACAGCCCAAAGAGGAAATAATTCTTTGGGCATCTTGAGCTAGGAAATATTTTATTGAAGCCTGTGCAGATAAGAAATATTAATGAGATTTTATGGCTTCCAATGAATAAAAATAACTTTGGATCTCAAGCTGTCTGGACTGTATAATATGCCTTTCTCTGTGTGTATGTCAAAGACACAATCTTATAGGAGATTTATGTATGTCTTCTATATATTAATCCTACAGGCAAAAAAATTTCAATATATTAAGCTAGACTAGCAGAAATATTTTTCCAAAATACTGTTAGCGTGTAATTTAAGTCAACAAGGAGAAGCACAATATTTACAATGGTCATTACTCTGTTACCATGCTAATTTTTCCCCTAAAATTGTGTGCAATTTGGTTGCACATAAAAGTGAAATACGAAACTCATTGCTGAGTGCTTAGGAATGCAGGTAAGGTGGTAGATGGCTCTCGACGCCGCGCTGCCACTAATCGCATCAGTATCTACAAATCTCATTTATAAAGTACTTAAATTTAACAATCTGTCTGCCCACACTGCATTTCAAGAAAATGTTTATCAATAAAAATGTGAATTTTCGAATTTATTAGCAATATTAAACATGAATGCATCATTATCTGCCATATTTTAGCAACTGCACAAATGGGGCTTTGGTTCTTTTATTTGCAGAGGCAATAGGATGAATTATTAAATCTCTTTAAGTGCTGTCCAATTTTAATGCGTCCATTTATTTGCATGGTGTCCACTCACACGCAAAGTGTGACTATTTAAGTAAATCGTATTCACATAGGTACCATCGTACTTTATCTCCCCAGTGCAAGATTTACGATTATAAAAGAGGGAAGAGACCATTTCTGGTTAGGTTCACATCATGAGCAATAAACTCTTGAGTATTACCTGGAAGAAAAAAAATAGTAATTTCATTGTTAAAGTTGTCCTGGCTAGAGACTTCACATAACATGAACAGCTGAAGTTGCTCTAACAATAGGTCCTCTGGCTTGCGTTCAGACTCCTCCAGAAAGAGGACTGGGGTGGGGTGGGGAGAGTAGGAGTAAAATTAAACACAGTTTAGTCTCTGGGTCAGTGCCTGTACTTAGTAGGTAGCCTTTAAATGGCCACAGAAGGACTGAATCCACAAACATGCTCTGTTTGACTTGATTTTTGTTCTAAAAGGCAAGTATTAAAACTGTATCAGAAAATCTCTGGAGACTCACCTATTTTCCAGAAATCGGTACAGTTCTCTTTGGTGGGCCTACCCCCGGTCCTCTTTGGACTGAGCAGAGTACACACATGTATTTATTTTAAACTATTCTCATATGACATTAGGGTAAATATTAAGCTGTGATCAAGTTAATATTGTGATTTTTGCCCTCTCATTAAGACAGTCTATTTCCTACACTTACCATTTATTTATTTTTTAAACACTAAACTGAATCGCTCTTCCTTGTGATCCACATCACATGCCTTCATGACCTAAAAGTTCTTATTCCAATGTTTACCTTTTGGCTCTCCTGTAATCCTGTCTACCAGCAATCCCTTAACCTCTGATTTCAAAATACACAGATCTTTCTGATCTTGAAAAAGCACGCTGCCTCCTCTAAGTTCTTCTTGGCACTACCAACACTCTTGAACGAGGAGTGAGCACCCACGGATTTTCTTCACTTCTCCCTGTCCCATGTTTTCTGTCCTCCTCCACTTTTAGAAAGTCATCAATGTCTTCTTTCCGTTAAGAGGGATGTACTCTGTATGGGAGGGGACCCGGGGATATACACAGGCCATTCTGTGATCTATGAAGCATAGCAGCTGAGTGGTTGTTCTGAGAACTACTCCCAATGTAGGAAAAAATGCCTCCCTTTCATGTGAACCTTGGGGCAGGTTTCTCAATCCTTCCCAGACTCCCTAAACCACAGTGAATGTCCTCCACATTCTCATTGCACTTTTCTCCCTTTATCATGAAATTCAGTGCACAGTTCTTTCCAAAGGTCTGTTTGCTCAGACTGTTGATCTTTGCAGGTGAAGGCTGTGACTTAGTCCTAACAGAGTCCAAAAACATTTGCTGAATATGGAAGCGGGGCAACGGTGGGACATTAGTGCAAAACTGAAAGGTAGCACAGAAAAGGAAACGCACAGTAGTAGAGAAAACATCGGAGTGCTTTACTTTCACAATTCAATACCACAAGAACAATGACGTTAACAAACGCTGTTAAATGCTTCTATCCCACTGTGTCCACGGATAAAAAATCAGATACCAGCCTGCCCTCAAGAAGTTTTCAGCTCATGAGGACATAAGATGAGTGAGTCATCAGGGCACACAGCAGGTAGAGGACCATGGCGATAGAGGGTAGAGCAGGGCACAGGGACAGCAGGGCTGTTAGGAAAGGGGATTCCTGAAAAGGGACATGAGCTGAGGTCTGAATATTAAGTCAGAATTGGCAAAGCCAAAGGCAAAAAAAGACAATTAGAAATATAGCATTTTAAAAAACTTTCAACATATTTCTATTTTTCTCTACACTGTTCTGTGTGTGTCGAAGAGACTTAATACTAGCTTTATTTATTCAGAAAATATTCACTTATTGAGCACCTACTGTGTACTGGGTACCATTTTAGATATCTGTGATATTCACCAAAGAAAACAGATAGAGATTCAGGCTCCTGGGAAGGTTAACACTCTAGCCAGGATGGCACAGGAGCTTACATTCAGCCTGATGTCATAAGCCAGCAGCCCTTGGGCTACAATCAGCTCACAGGTATGGTTTCTATTTGAGCCAACATTTATAGGTCAGAAAATTTCATACAATAAATTGGATTTTTTGGGCTTCTCTCAAAAAAATCCAGAAGAGGTAGATCATCAGCATTCTTGCACAGCAACACCTGTCTGGTGCCAAGGCAAAGGGGCCCTTTTATATAATGCCCTCCGCTCACAGGACCCGGGCACGCAATCCTCATGGCCTGCTTCATTGGTTTATTCTCTGACTCCTACACACTTTAGTATTAGTTAATCCTTTTAAAATCACCTACCAAAATGTGAATTTGTATTACAAGGAAACTATTGCTTTATAGGTCTACAGTAGTCCTGCCCTCTTTCTCAAGGTGTATGGTCCAAGACCCCAAAGAATGCCTGAAACTGGATGGTCCTGAACCCTATGTACACTGTTTTTTTCCTATACATACACCGATGATAAGGTTTAATGAATAAATCATGCACAGTGAGAGATTAACAGCAGTAAGTATGGATAAAATAGAACAGCGATAATATACTGTAATAAAAGTTATGTGAATGTGATCTCTCTCTCAAAATACCTTACGGTACTGGGCTCACCCTTCTCCTGAGGATGATGATGTGAGGTGGTAAAATGCCTGTCTGATGAGTGAGCACCTGGGTGGCTCAGTTAGGTGTCAGTTTAGACACTCAGTTAAGCATCTGCCTTTGGCTCAGGGCAGGATATCAGGGTCCTGGGGTCAAGCCCTGCTTTGGGCTCCCTGCTTGGCAGAGAGTCTGCTTCTCCCTCTCCCTCTGCCCCACGCACCCCCACCCCGCTCATGCCCTCTCAAATAAATAAAATCTTTTTAAAAAATGATTAACTGATGAGATGAAGTGAGGGAATGAGGTAGGCACTGCAACCTAACATCGAGCTACTGCTGACCTTCTGAGGCTAGGTCAGAATCACTGTTTCTAAAACATGGCTGACCTCGGGTCACTGAAACCGTGGAAAGCCAAACAGTGACAAAGGGAAGCCTACTGCCCTGCACTTCCCACTGAAGCAATAATGAACTGATAGTGTATGTGTGAGCCCACGACTTTTATAACATGTTTGACAGAAGAGCAAAACTTGGGATATAAGTCTGTCCATCTAGCTTCATCGAATCTCAGACGTTCTCTATTGTGAGAAGCATCATTAATTTATATACTATTAAGATGTAGAAAAGTGTTACTAATTAAACTATGATCCACTATTCATTGTAAGACACCCTGCAATTTGGAGTGCTGAGATGCAGCAATGACAAGCATCTCAGAATCAGTAAGTGATCCTAACTCTTTACATATAATAAACAGTGACAGAAATCTTACACATGTCATATAAATCTAGCATGGATAATAGGCTTAAAACAGTAGAGTTTTCAAAACAAATGTGACTGACAAAATCTTTGGTGTTTTACAAATAGGAAAGACCATGTATTGGCTGGGCAACCCTTTAGTGGGATAACATGAACATATGGATCTGCTTATACTTAGATAATATTCTTTTTTTGGCCTTTATAATCGCTGAACATGGCATCTTAGACTGGTTATGTGTGCCCACTTTAATTAATTGTGTGTGTGTTTTCTCCCTTTTAACCAGAACTCAAATCAAGACTGAGAGGGCT